GCTTAAAATTATCTCAAGTATGTCTCAGTCTTGGGAAACACTCTAATAAGTGATTGTTGAAAGAATAAATGATTGGCTGGGCATCTATAGTGGCTCATGCCTATAGTCCCAGCTACTCAGGAGGCTGAGGTGGGAGGATTGCTTGAGTCTAGGAAATTGAGACTAGCCTGGGCAATATAGTGAGACCCCCGTATCATTAAAAATAAAAGAATAAATGACTGGACTCGAAGTTATCATGGCAGACTGAACACATGCATCAAATCTTATTCCTTCCCCAAAACTCTACTAAACAGTGGAAAAGGACTTTTAAAATATATAAATCCATAAATAGGGAGGACACAATAGCAATAAAGTTTTTGAAGCTGAAAAGCAGATGATTGAGATACCTAAGTAGATTCTAGAGACAGATCCCAAGTTGGCAGTAGGGAAAGCACATGTACCTCTAGGACCAAGGGTAAAGGGACAGGTACCCAAAATAAGGAGGCCTGGGTGGGAGCTGTTTGACAACCAGTTAGACCCCTAGGTGCTCTGCTGTTGGGTAATTGCTCCTCCTCCATTGCAGGCTGGGGCTTATCCTCTGGAGAGAGCAGAACACCAGGTCTCTGGACTGGGAGAGTCCAGTATAGTACCTCTGTTCCCCATGTGCCCCTCAGAACACTGGGGCCAGGCCCTCCAGTAGGATACTAGAAGGCCTCTCGAGAAACTGTGACCAATCCAGGAAAAAAGATGTAAAGTGACTGAGTTGACGGTTGACCCCCCAAAAGTCCATGCAGATCACCCACAGTGAAGCCTGTTGTCAGTCCCCAACCATACACTCAGAACTTTTGGTCAGCTCTTTAGGAGGTCCTACATGCAGTCATGAGCCAAATATCACCAGATTTCTGAGGAAAGTCTCTAACGCAGAAGGTAGAAACTAAAAGAAGCAAAAAGGAGGGGAAAAAGCAGCTTGGAAGAAACTGTAAAAAGCAAAAAACCAAATAAGCTATTATTAAAATCCTGAGAAATAAAAGAGAATATTGCATCCTTAAAATAAAAATAAGATGTTAAAATAAGAAACACTTAGGTGACATAAAAGAGCTCTCAAAATTAAAAATGTGATGGCAGAAATAATTCTGTTTTTGTTTTCTGTTCTTTTGGTGGTTATTTTCATAACTATAAATAATGTTTATACTGTCATTTTTTATTACTTTAGACATTATCTTTCTGTAATACATTAACATACTTCATCTTCACAGCTCCCTTCTCAATGTTGCTATGTCATTTAAAAATTATTTTATTTTTGCTAGGTGTGTCGGCTTACGCCTGTGATCCTAGCACTTCGGGAGACCGAGGTGGGAGGATCACTTGAGGCCTAGAGTTTGAAACCAGCCCGAGCAACATAATGAGACTCTGTCTCTACAAAAAATTTAAAAATTAGCCAAGTGTGTTGGTGCACACCTGTAGTCACAGCTACTCGCAAGGTTGAGGCAGGAGGATCTCTTGAGCCCAGGAGTTTGAGGTTATAATAAGCTATGACAACACCACAGCAGTCTAGCCCGGGCAACAGAGCGAGACCTTGTCCCAGAAATATATATATATATTATTCACCTTTGGCCTTTCAAAGATATTTTAAAATCTCCATTTCTTATTTTATCAGCTATAAATAGAATCATTTTCACTTGTGAATTCTCACTCTTGCCCCACCTACTCTTGCTCATAGATGTCTTGCCTAAAATTGAAAAGGAAAATAAACTAGTTTAGTGAATAAAAGTTTTGGTCTTTTTTTGCTGAGATCCACAATGATAGTCTTTCTACCTGTCGCACATCATAAGCAGAGTAGGATATCAGTGTTTCACTTCCTAGCTTTGCGTTTTCAAGGCTGTAGAGTAACAGCTCCTTTTTAGAGGGCAAGTCTGGAGTTTTGCTGGGCCCTGGTAACTGCTGAAGTAGCCGAGCCTCTCTGCTACATTGCTTTTCAAACTGTCTTGACTGTGATCCACAATAAGAAATACATAGTCTATGTCTATGTATGTATCTGTATCTATGTATCTAAAATAAAATCTTGTTCTTTGGACTAAGTTGGCTTTCTTTCTTGATAATCTGAATTAATGTGTTTTCTTTCTTTCTTGGTCTAGGCAGTCGACAAGTACTTCAAACTTCCTCATGCTTCCAGCAAACCACCCCGGATTTCGGGAAGCCTTGTGGACACTTCTTATAAAACATTAAGATTTGCATTCAGAGCATCACTGAAAACTGCCATCTATCGAATAACTACTACATTTGGTGAACATCTGAAGTAAGTTTACCTGTTTTCATCCCTGACAATCCCCACTTTCAGGCATTTTCCTCAAAAATCGGCATGGGAACTATGAAGGTTCACATGTTGAAAAGTATTCTTTTGGGCCTCGATGATTCCCACTGTGAATTCACAGCTTGGATGTAGGCTTTATATTTTAAAATTTGGCCTGTCATAAGCTTTGAGGACTTCTTTCAAATGGACACAAGAGAGCAGAAATTTATAAAAGCAGCAAATGTTAATTATATATTGTTTTTTTAAATTACCAAAAGATCCTTAAGGGAAAAAAAGGCAAAAAACTGAGTACCTTTCTAGAAGAGCATATTAAAAATAATTCTGTCGTTACATCTTGGTCAGCAAACTAAGACTTGGGGTGAGCAGAGCATTCCATAAATGAATCCCTGGTGCTTTGTGAATCATGCTGGAAAAACACCAACAGATCACAACACCTTCAGAAACAGAACCAGAGAGAAAACCACAAATGCCAAACCTGTTTATATTTAGTTTTATTGATGTTTACTGCTTCCCTCTCATGAAATGATCTAGCTAGACAGGATGAGGGATACTATGTTTATCATAATTATAAATGAACTTTAGATGGCACTAGAGATTGCCCTGCTGTTTCTGTAGGCAATCAATAAATAGTTTCAGACTTCCTCATACCGCTTGCTTTTAGAAGCAGGTTGTATATTTCCTTTTACTTGCATAATACCAGGCAGCAGCAATAGCAAGTATTTATGGAACTCTGGTTCTGTGTGGAAATACAAAAGACCTATAGATAATCCTCTAATAAATAAGAGGTTTATTAACTTGTTTAAAAACAAAAAATCTATTTATTGAGTACCTTCTAGACCTGCACTGTCCAGGATGATAGCCATGTATGCTATTTAAATTAAAGTTAAATAAAACTAAAAATTCAATTTGTTAGTCACACTAACCACATTTCAAGTACTCGAGAGCTACATGTGGCTAGTAGCTGCCATATTAGATGACGTAAGTAGAAAACATTTACACATTGCAGGAAGTTTTATTGGACAGCACTATCCTAGATAATACACTCAGGACTTTATGTGTGTTTTTCATTTATTCTTCCCAAAGACCCTATGAGGTGTAGAGATTATCAGAATTGTACAGATATGAAAACTGAGACACAAAGAGGTTAAAACTTGCCTAATAGCACATTATGAATCTGAAATCAGGTCTTCCTTGCTCTTAAAAATCTGCTTTCTTTCCATCTATAGCACTTGACTGCCTCCAAGATATAAACTAGCATGGAGGTTATGCTCAGAAAACACTAATCTATGAGTTTGGAGAATGAAATAGATATGATGTATGTTGATGATAGAGCAAAAAGCAGGGAGAAAAGGGGAACATAGGGGTTCATTAGGTAAGAAAGGGAGATAGATGACTGATAAAAAATTATGAGAATCTACCCCCATAATATGCTGAAATTTAAAAGAAAAGAAGTAAAATTAGAAATTTTACTAGAATCTAAAAAAAATGAAAATGAAATTCTGCCTTAGTTTCTTTTCTCTCAGAAGAGCCATATTTTATATATGCACTAAAATCAGTGAGGTCAGAAGAGACTATTTTGCACAAATTTAGGGCAGAATGGTATGGTGCAAAGAATGTTAGGTCTGGAGTTAGAACATCTGGATTTATGTCTGTTTACATCATTGACTATCTGTAATTTGGGGCAAGTTACCTAATAATTTAAGTAACTCACCCAAGATTATGCATGTAGTGAGTTGCAGAACCAAAATTCAGACCCAAATCTTTCTAATCCTTAGTTCTATCTACAGTGTGTCTACTCTTAACCAATAGACTGTGTTGGCTCCCCTAACCTTTGAACCTTTCTGATACTGTTTACACTCCCGCGAAAGGGAATGTTCTCAAACTCACTTAGCTTCATTTGCTGTTAATAGAGATAAGCCCACTGTACATTATATATTATTGTGACAACAACTATTATTACTGTATACCTAATTATTCACTACCCAATGCTCCACCCCTGAGAACCAGATATAATGAAGTAAACTCTTGAGCTGTGAAAATTAACTAACATGGGCCAGTTACTGATAGAAACATTTATTCAGCACCTATATATTCTTTTTTAAAAAATAAATTTTGTGTATATTTGAGATTTACAACATGATGTTTTTGCATACATAGAGATAGTAAAATGTTACTATAGTCAAGTAAATTATTGTATCATCTTAACATA